ATCTAGGTTTTCTTTTCCACGTCGCTATATAGCAAAGTAGTCGTTCATATAGCGAACTAATAATTTAGGAACTAAAAGTGCCTCCTGAATTAAACATTCCTCAAATCGAGCCATGTAATTATTTGCTAAATTTGGTGACAAACCCGATCCCATAGCTAAACCTCGTGTTTGCTCGTACAGTTTACCATTGAAGGTAAAAGATATACAGTAAACCGCTAGGTTGTTCAGTATCATAATTGACTCTTAATTTAACTTCGTGTTCATTAAAATCTCTACATGTTGGTCTAGTGTGGATTGCAGGGCCTGTATGGTATCATCTGCAGGGATGTAAGTATACATAGACTCAACATCATAATTTACCAGCAAATCCCAATTTTCTATCTCCTGTTCGTCGACTAAGTTAACGAATTCATAGGAATTCTTGACTGAAACCTTACACGTCTCGGAGATTTGCTTTAATTGTGTACAAATAAATCGTGATGCTTCTTATATCCTTGTGTATTTTTGTCAGATCATACGTATTCGGTGGCCTAGCATTTCGTTGAAAAAGCGGGTTCATCTTCCACTTCTTCAGTTCCCCGTTTGTTACACAAGGCTGCAGACAGCCCCTGAGTTTAGACTTAAGGGTTTCCGTAGGGTCCCTACTGATTAATTTATATGCAGTAGTGTCATCGAAAGCCTGCATCGTTTTTTTCCTAAATAGCTCAATCTAGCCATAGCTACCAATGCTCCTCCTTTGTCTGCCCTCAACACCATTTGGTCCTCACCATCCAGTTTCCTTATGATGTTTTCCACTCTCTTGTTTCTGAATGTTATTTCTACATAGCTATCAATTAAAGGAACGACCTGTAATTCAATATTACTCCTAGTCTTTTCTGGAAGATGGTTGTTATATCTTATGATTTCCACCAGAATCTCCTCCCTATTTATCATACTGTTTGGCAAAGCAAAGTTCAAATCTTTCGAGAGCCCTTTCTCGGTATCAAACCCAGTTTTTCTACATATTGGTAAATAAGTTTGATCATAGACGTGGTCTATGACGTAAAGTCTCGACCACGAGATTTACTGGGTGCAAATGCCGCATAGCGTCGAGTTAGGTTGTCATGCCAATTGCGAATCCAGACGTTAGGGGCTTGATCATTGAGGCTGATGTATACACGCTGACTTGAGGCAGAGTGTAGAACATAACGCCTTGAGTAGCACGGATACGGTGGCAGCGATGGAGTGAAATCATTGAAGCAGGCGGATAAGAGACGTAGCCTTGCAGCAAGTGGTAGACTCTGATAGGACCTAGGTGAAGAGGATTGTGGTATAATAGGGCAGGCTCGGATCAGCAGTCCCAGTACAAGTGTGGGGGTGAGAATGCCTGTGTAGGGGGTGAATAGTTCTCATGACATCCTCTCAAATGTGACACACCAGAAATTAGGATAGTACTACGAGGATATAGGATAAGTCAATACCCAAGACAGTAAAGATACCACGACTGTTTAGCAGACACTTGGTCAAATGATCCACTTCACATGTTTCTGATGTATCATAGTGTGCGACTAAGACTCTCAAGGCTCACTGACGAATGAACCAAATCCGCTATGTGACGGGAAATTATCATGGATACTATGCACTCCGTACAAGCTGCTTTCCTCTAAGTCTCCTTGGTTATATGAACAAGTTGCGAAAACAAGGTCAAACAACTAATATATAGCGAAAGTAGACCGTGACCATGCGAAAAGCCACACAATCTTGGTTTTTATGCCACCGATTTAAGTAACTTCTAAAGGTAAACACGAAGACCATAATCATGTGGCCTCTATTTTGGTCTTAGTCACCTTTCGATGTATAAATATTGCCTGACCACGTTTTCGCAAATTCGTCGTGTTGCCAGGGTGACTTAGTAGTACGTCCCTGTCCGTAATCCTCTG